GCCGCATAGTACATATCGCCCAATGTGAGTATATACTGTATGCATTCAAATAAAGTTGGACATACTTGTGTGTATCAAACTTTATATAAAAGCTTGGTGATAATGTAGTTACATTTTGCAGCTAAATAAAAATCAGGTAGTTGAGATTTGCTATATAGTGTATATATTGTTTTACTGCATGTATGCGGATAAAGTTGGATATAATATATATATATATCAAACTATTTAGCTAATCTATACCAAACTTAATGTATTACTTTGCGATAATAAAGCTTACTTTTTTTTGACGATATCCTTATTTTGCAACATGGACGTAAGCTGTTTTCTGTGAATGTTTGAAACTTGTAATTCATTAGCTACAATTGCGCTATAATCCATTGTGTTTGAGTACATTAAAATAACATAAGAAATAACAATTTGCAATATCGAGCAGCATAACCTGCTGTTTTGTACAGCTAAAAATAACTAAAAGCGGATGCCTCGCACATTCAGGTTACAAATGGCTGCTCCCACTCTTGCGTTAAAAAGAAGGTAGAAAACAATCAAGTAGTTGAGAATTCCTGTACTGTACATATACTGAAAAGTGTAACTTTCTTGGGTGTGTTTCTTTAATGTCTTTAAATTATTTTATGTTGAGGACCCCAAGCATTTTTGAAGGTGGCATAATCTACAGCAATCCCTAAAACATTCTTTGTGCAGGTTGACCCCATGTTCCAGCGCATGGCTGCTTCCTTCGATGAGAATAGTACAGCAGGAGTGTTCCTCTCCGTGCTGTTCAGTGAAGACAGTCGCTGTGAGCTGCGCTTTCCTTCACATATGACCTTGCTGAAGTCACAGCCACCACCTGTGCAGGTGCCCCATCAACATGTTCCTGCCTCACCGTTTATAGGTAAATCAGCTTTGCACGTCACACTCTGTTCAAAGTCATGGGACAGTTTACTTTTGGGTTTACTAAGTAATATTCTGTATTCATAGCCTAAATGTTTCTGCACGTGTTGTGAGCTACAACCACACCGAGTTGTTTGACAACATGAGGGAATGGAATCATGCCTTTTTGATTCTTCCAGGTCATCTAAAGACACTAGAGGACAGGCCAATTTGTCCATCCTTAAAGGATTTCTCCTTTACTAGATGGACTCCTGAGCAGGTGAAACCCTTTAGAATCTTTTTTTTTTGTTTGTTTTGATACTTTGAGACTTGTTTTTTTTTTCTTCAGAATTCTTTGAAATAAAAAAAAAAACAGCAATTTTTTTTTTTTTAGAAATCTTTTGTAACATTATGAATGTCTTTACTCTCACTTTTGATCAATTTAATGCATCCTTGCTGAAAAAAGTATTAAATTCTTTAAGTAGTGTAAGTGTGATATCAAGTGTTTTATATTGATGTGATTCTCTCTTTCATATTGTCAATATAGACCACAAACCTCAACCAGCTGCTTGAGAAGATGAAGCAGGGAGAGCATGCATTCGATGTCAATGCAGACATTGAGCCAGATGAGGATGAGGGTCCAGATTTTGGGGATAATTTTGATGCAGATGTAGACGTGGAAGAGGGCAGACAGGGAGACTGTGAGGAGTTTAAGGAACACAGAGAAACTTATTCAAAGAGCCCTCAGAAAGGGTTAGTACTTGCAACATGTTTTGCACCAAAGTGTTTGCTAATTTTTGCATTGCAAACAGACTGTTTCACACTCTGTTCACAATGAGTGAATAGTTGCGGCTCAATATTGTACATTTTCACTTATTTAGACATCATTCCGAAGACTGTCAAACCTAAGCTTGACCTGACCTTAGCTGCTACATTGTCATGTAGTATTTCATATCTCTGACTATTCAGAATAACCCATTTATTTGCATCAGAATTTCCTCTGTGCTGTTTTATGTCATGTCTATTCACTGTGAGGTGTATTTGTGCTATTAACAGAGGCGTTATTCCTATTGGCAAGGTGGATATTGCCACTATGTGTCAGCAGTTGTCTGATCAGCCCAGAGAGTATTCGTACTTCAGTCCCAGGACCATGGCCACCTGGGTCGGGCCTGGTTACTGGCTCTTCAAACCTGGACATAGGCGTAAGTCATAGATTAGCCTATGAGTGTATAAATCCTAGTGTTGATTTTATCACTTTCTTAATTTCTTGCTTTCTTTGTGCCATTTTTGACCCAATTTCTAATTTATCCTGTCTAGAGGATTACAAACCAAACAAAGAACCTCGGAAGCGAGCACCAAAGAATCCTCTCGTAATTGACTTTAAAGGAGATATCAACTTTCATAATTACTTTCGGACAACTAGAGTACGTTTGCATTTGCTAATTCTCATATTATGTATTTTCATGACTTCCCTAATAGACAAAAGCTTTGTAACAGCGATTCATACAATGCTATTTAATCCCTCTAGCAAAATCTGTTAAAGCTTTTAAAAGTAAGCAGCAGATTACTTGGCGACAAACTGACAATGTTATGCTTGTTATTTCCAGGCAGCTACCACTATTAGTAAATCAGCTTTGAACAGCAGCAATAAGAAAACCATGCTTCCAGCAGACTTCCAATATCCACCCAGTAATCTGTCACAGCTCAGCCTCAAACCCTCCAACACAGTAAGTTCATGAATGTTTAATATTCCTGTCTGCATTGCTGTGTACACTTCAGAATATCAGTTGTGGCAAATCTAAAACAACATTAGAAGAATGCTGCACAGGAGATTGACTGCCAGATTGGTTCATTTTATTCATCTTTCAAATATGGCTATGATTATTTTCTTACTCCAGCTAAGTGCAGAAGGAAAGAAGAGATTATCGGGAGAGCTGGGTGAGGACATAGGAGAGTATGATTACAACAACGCCAATGACACCGCCAACTTCTGTCCTGGTCTTCAGGTACACCACACAGTACTGTTAAATGTCATAGGTAGTCATGAAGATGGTCTCTTTAACAGTTAGTGTTTTCTGTGAACAGGAAGGGGACAGTGAGGATGCTGAAGGCTTTGGAGGATCTGATGAATCCCAAACAGACCAACCGACCCCTTTCTCCCTGGACACAGGTGACATCTCTACATACGGAGAGGACTGTCTCGTGCCGGAGCCTCACAAGGTAAGATGAGAGTAGAGATGTTGGGCTACTACACTACACTACACAGTTGTTATTATTAGTTTTTACTTCAGTTGTTTTGGGTGGATAATGCATGAACGAATTGTATTTGTTATTTGCTCTAGGTAAACACAATTGAGATAAACTATGCCAAGATGGCCAAGAAGATGGACATGAAGAAGCTGAAGACCACTATGTGGGGTCTCCTAACAGAGAGTCCTGAAAAACCAGCAAAGGTTTGTAATTGTACCTTTCTGAGCTTAGTAAAGCTCTTTTATTTTTCAGTGTGTTTTTAGTTAAGTTTAGAAGTTACCATTTTTTCTTAATTATTGCACATTTCTTGTGACTAGTTGATTTATATATATATTTTTAAATGACATACTTAAATGACCATTTCTAGCAGGTGGACAGTGAGGACACGACGGAAGTACCTGGAGAAAAATCATTCAGCCAGTCTGTCAGGAATCTTGTACAAAGGTACAGTTTTTCAAAACTTGCCACTATGTATCTTTTCACTGTTCCTGCTCGTGGAAGAAATACTATCTTAAGGATCTACATTTTTCTTCCGTGTTCTGTTCATACATTTCTCTTTTCTCCTTTTTTTTTTTTTTTTTCCCCAGGCTTCCCTCCACCATGGCTACCAATCTCTCAGTTCCTTTGGCTTTTGTGGCACTTCTTCACTTGGCTAATGAGAAAGTGGGTACTTTCTGCTATATATGATTTCAAAAACTAATGTAGATGGAGGTCTGTTTAAATTTCAGTGTTGATTTAATATTAGCATGTTGTCTATTGTTTATAATTATGTGTCTTGCATTATGCATTGAATGTTTTGTAGCTTACATGAGGAAACATGTTTTATGTATTTGTGATCTCCTGAATTATCACAACATTTGATTGCTGTAAATCTAAAAGCTCTTCTTTCCATCAACAGAACTTGGAGCTGCACAAGATTGACTGCATGACCGATATCATCATTAAACAAGGCCACTGAAAACTGATACAGAACTTTCATACAAAAATCTTTTTGTATCAAAATGAAAATGCAGATTCTTATGTTCTTTATGTCATGTAAAATACCTATGTGTGGCCAATACAGTATAGTCAAGAGAAGAATTATGTCAGGATCATGTTAAAAAAGGTGTACAGGGAACTAGCACAGAATTGTTTTTCTGAGTGAAACTGAAAGTTGTCAAAAGCATGTACCAGGAAAGAAAGAAAAAAACCGCAGGGTGCAGCATGAATAATGATTGCTTTGAAGATTGGCCTGTTTTAATAACTTGTTTTAGCTGCTTCAGTAATAGTAAATATGAAGTTACTGTTGTCAGTGTCCATTTTGAATTTTTTTTAAATTTAAATTATAAAACTTCATATTATAATTTGAGGTTTCTTTTAGATGTATGTTTGACGTGATTTTGAAAAATAAAAGTTATCAAAGTATTGTATAATTCTTTATCTGTATATGTATTGTTTTATGTGTAGTGTTGTCATTTTGGAATGGTATGGTGCTCGAGATAAATACATGTAATGCTTGAGGCATTTGGGTGGAGCCAATTATTACTGGCGGTAGAAAAGAGTTTAGTTTCGTTCATAGGAGTCTAATCGTTTTACCCTAATAATGTTAAGACTACACTACTTTGAAAACAAACTTTCATGACAAAGAACACTGAGAAAAAAAAAATCACATTAGCATTTTTAGAAAAGTCAGTGACTCACTGGCCTGTCTGGCCTTACGAGAACAATCTTGTCATACCTGCAGTGCAGAAATGTTGATGCTTGGTAAGAGTCTGCGCTCTCACCTTACAGGTGTTTATGCGTCACCAATCCAGCGCCCTCTTGAGGATGTTATGAGAAATTGCGCTACAGAGGTGGACCAAAGCCAAGTAGCCAACTCCTTCGCTGGAGGAAAAGACTGAGTTAAGAGACCAGGAAGTGTTGACGCGGTTTACATCTGTCGGTCATTCGAAGAAACAGTTACAAACATTTTAACTTTAAAGGATAAAGCGTAACATTTTTCACCCCCGTGGAGTAAATTAAACCACCAAACAGTGAAATCATGGGGCTGGCTGATCCAGATAGTACGGTAAGTTACGAAATTAACGATAGCCAGCAGCAGGTGCTTATTGTTGTTGCATCGCTTATTGAATTTAAAACTAACTAACCTGCTGTGTAAATCCAGTTCCTATCTGTGTCTATGTATATCATATTATTTTTTAGTTGTAGAAATGTTTACGCTCGAGCAGGTTGATATTTTTTACATTTGAGTTTTACCGGTTGATGTGGGTTGGCGTACTCAAAACAGGGCGAAGCTCGTTTTTCAAGTTATAGCCTACTTAGTTTCTGCTTTCCTGTTGAGTGTTAACGTCGCTGCATAAATCATTAATTTTCTTATATCAGAATGATTAAATTTAGCTCTCCGTATATTCATATGCATGTAAAAATCATACAAAGACAAGGTTTTGATGTTAATGCACACGTTTTTATGTGTATGTTAATGAGTGTATATTATGCAGTGTTTCACACATACACGCATTATTTATATCATATTTTAGAACTCCTCATCATACCGAACAACTTTGCCTCAAGAACCACTGCTGTCAATAAAATCGTTCATTACTTATTTGAGAACCAGTCTTAGTTTTATTGATCAACCTCAACAAAACCAGTGTATTAGAAATCTCTGGATTCCCTAGATAAATAAATATCAAAAAATGTTTGAACTTTGGTATTAGGATGGATATAAAGGGGTAAGTAATTTTATGCAGTTTATAACTTATGTTTATGGGCTTTTGCACAACAGAACTTTTTACTAACTTTCCAGATGTTCATAACTATGTATGCTTGGAGCCATTTTGATTTTGAATTCCTCTCAATGCAGGAGCCAAGAGAAGGAGAGTCTTCACAGGATGTGGATCCAGTTAAATCTCTGCAGTCTCAAGTGGATGGGGTCAAGGATATTATGACCCAGAATGTAGATCGGATCCTGGCCCGTGGAGAAAGACTGGATGATCTGATGGGCAAATCTGAAGACCTGCAAGCTGGGGTGTGTCTTTCAGTACAAAAACATTGATTCTAATATTACTATATTCATATTACAGCTGTAATCCCAGCACACTGTTTTGGTAAAACTCTTGTGTTCACCAAAGCTGCATTTATTTGATAAAACAAATGTTTTCTATTGTAATATATATTTTATAAAGTAAATAATTATTGAATGGCAAAGCTGAATTTTCAGCATTCATTACTCCAGTCTTCAGTGTCACATGATCCTTCAGAAATCATTCTAATATGCTGATTTGGTGCTCGAGAAAACATTAGGATACTTATCATTGTTAAAAATAGTTGCGCTTCCATTTATAATGAATAGAAAGTTCAAAAGAACAGCATTTATTTGAAATCTTTTGTAACATTATACTTTACTGTATGTTGTGATCAATTTAACTTGCTGAATGTTACTTTCCCCAAACTTTTAACTGATAGGGTAATGTATGCAGCCATAGTGAGTCCCACACTAGTTGACATTGTACTGGTCTTTTTTCCTGCTTCTTAGGCCCAGAACTTCAAGCACACCTCTCAGAAGGTTGCTCGTGCCTACTGGTGGAAGAACGTGAAGCTGATTGTGGTTATTGTTGTGATAGTCCTCATCATTGTACTGATTGTCATATTCCTTGCTACTGGTGTGATCCCGACCAGTGCACCTGCACCCAAACCTCCCACTGTGAGACCACCATAAGATTTCTATCAGTTACAAACACTCACACATACACATACAGATATATGCAACCATGTCCACACACCAACACAATTCATAACTCCAGGAATTCACACACATCATACACACACATACCTTTTATTTGCACATTTTGCTCATGTACCTTCATATCTCATGGTATCACACCACCTTATAATGAGTAGCTTCCATAATGACAGCTTCGAACCCTTGAAGTGGAGGATTTTAAAAAGTCTATAGACAGATTGCTGTCTATTTTCATACTTCTCTCCTCCTGAAAGGTCAATCTAGTGGCCACTTCAGCTGTCTTTATGGTTCTCTAAAGCCTGATAAAATGCCACAACTGTAAAAGTACTTGCAATATTGTTCATAAATGAAGGGACCCTTGAAATAGTCATATACTGGCATTGATCCAGCGGAGGTAATGGGTGAAAGTTCTATCTATTGAATTATGAAGTATATTTAAGACTGTTATATTAGATTACATAAGATGTTACTTGTAATTATGGAATACTTTTAGATCTTCAAGTGTCTCTATTTTGTATTTGATGGGTCACTGTCTTTGTGCTTTTGCCTACAATTGTTATTTGTATAAGGTCAAACAAGAATGTGTTCTTACAACTGTTGCATTACCCAAGCACACCATTTCATTGAGGAAATTATAAAATTGTAAGATGTTTGGGTTCATTTTTCTGTCTTAAATCTTTACTGAAAATTGGCAATGCCCCAAACTTCAAAACCGAGACAGATTTTCGTCCTGTAGAATGAATTAACATTTTTTTAATGGAACAAGAGCAGCTGAACAAGGTCATTTAGATAGTGAAATTTAGATAGGAATGATGGATATTTTCTGTGTCCTCATAAATCACTGCATTATATTTGACATGCAGTGTAACACTTGCACTGTACCGCATACAGTTAGTACTGTAATAAGAATTTGAGTGTATGGCATCAAAAGTTTGGCCTTGCACTGTAGGAGCTTAATGAAACCCAAGACGCATAACTTGTTCCTGTTTCGAAAACAGAGGAGGACTGTTTTAGAGTCTACTGTAATTTTCAGTTTGCAGTTTTTATTGAAAAATGCTAACACTTTTTACCTGTCTCAATTCAGCCAATGAAATCACTTCTCTGAATGTTCTTGTTGGCTGATCTTAAATTAGTCTGCTGGGTAGCTTTATGCAGTTTGCTTTGGAGAGGTCAAGGCATTGAATGTCTATATGTAGTCAGAATGACTTGACTGTTTGAATGTCTATATTATGCTGAGTCTTATGCTGTATCTCTTGTTGCTTCCATTAACAATTTACTGTATGTAAAAATAGGAGGTTTTTAAGCATTTCTGTTATTATAAACAAACCATTTAATCAAAGAAAAAAAATTGATCAAGACATTGAATAATTTTTTTAATCATCTACAAATAATTAAAAAACCCTTTAAGTGCCTTGAATTTGAGTCTTACTAGCATAAACAACCTGTAAGATCTGGGAAACCTAATATTTTGTAAATAAATATGTGATCTCGCAGTAAAACAGAGTATGACATGTTTTCTTCCTCTCGTTTGATGTTATGTTATTGCACTAATGGTAAACAATTTTCTAACATTATTGCATGGGATTGTATTAATTTAGTATATCCACCAATTAGCAGTACATCTCTAGAGAGGGACAAAAAGCAAGTTTTGACCTTAGCTGATACGAAAGCCAAACGTAAACTTAAGTGGTGTAAACAGCAATAGGAAAATAATGTGTTTTTATGGTTAGAGGATTGTGTACTCTCGATTCTTATACACATCTCTCCATGGTTAGAGAAAAGCAAGTACAGCCAGGCCTCAGCACATGTTTTCCCCCAGCTGTGATTTATCTTGTTTTAACCCACGCCACCTGCAACAAACTTTCCCCTCCAGATATTTGCGGTATGTTTTCTATTTGCACACTTTGTGAAACTTCTTCTTTCTTGGTGTTTAATGGCAGTTGGCCTCCAAAAAGTTGAATTTCTGTCACCTGCAGCCCATTAACTTGTTCCTTAATACTTAAAGCAGCACTATGTAACTTTTTCTGTGTTCAAAATTTGCTAAATGTATATAATGAGCGAGTACATCATGAATTCATCTTCCAAACCGCGTTTTTGTCTTATTCCGAATCGCTACGGTACTTTTATAAGTACTTATATTTGGATTATTGTAGCCTGGTCGGGTCGTCACCGCTGCGGAGTAACACATACCTGCGTGAATCGCCATAGACATAAACTTAGAGAAGTAGCCCCGGTTGGAATGTTCTTCCGCGGGATGTGTGCAGTTCTGTTTGTTAACCGCTAGAGCGCCAAAAGTTACATAGTGCTGCTTTAACGTCTTTCCAGTTCAGTTCTCCTTTAAAAAAATTGTGAATCGGTTCATAAAGTGAAGTGAGTGAAGTGAAGTGACATGTGGCCAAGTATGGTGACCCATACTAGGAATTAGTGCTCTGCATTTATCCCATCCTAAGTGCACACACACAGCAGTGAACACACACCCGGAGCAATGATTAGGCTAATAGTATTCGCAAATCGGACACTGCCCTTTTGAGCCCGCTTGATTTGCTTTTTGTGAATATATAACAAATAATGTTATGTACTCACTTTAAAGTGCACATTTTGGTACACGGCCAAGAACAATAGCATACGTTACAGAGGCAGGAGATGGGCGTCAAGGTTGCCAGGTTTTCACAACAAAAACCGCCCAATTGCTACTCAAAACTAGCCCAATCGAGTTGCGAGGAAGGGGATAAATATCACGTTATTGGGGTCGCTTAAACCCGCGGACATGAAAAACAATCCGCGGCAACAGTGTTAAAGTAGACCAATTGGCAACACTGATGGGCGTAAAGTGAGAGTTCCGCCCAGCAGTTAAAGGGAGGCGCTTCCTCCCAGCAGCAGCAGAGCAGACGATCAAAGCTTGGGAATAGTTGTGTAACGACGCGCGTGAAGTTTCAAGATACCGAGCTTGTATTATTTTCTCTTGTCAGCCGCTGGTGTCTCTTTCAGATGCAGTATATTTGGTGACAGTTTCTGGTGTATTAACAGCGACAGATTAAAACAATGGTGAGTTGTTTTGTCTTTGAAGCTTTACGTTCTTTTTGTTTCGTTTTGTGCTGGTGATCCTTACGCTGTCATTAGTTATTCAAATAAAAATGTGGACATGTGAGGGCAGAAGAACTTTTAAAGGCTTTTAACGTTTTAGACAAACTTAAAAGCAGCTTTTAACTCGATGTAAACACCGCAAACAATTGCATTTATTTATTTTTAAATGCTGTGGTCCAAACAGGTTTAGTTAGTTTCATCATCTATATTATACCATCTGTCACTTTGCAATATGAAAGTGAAATTATACACTGACTTTGATTTTGATGACTAGACGATTATTGTTTTGACAGTCTATATATAGAATAGCAGCTTTCACTCAAACGTAATTTGAGGGATATGATACAGTACATAGGGACTAGTTGATTAGCATTGATTGCTTAAGTCAGACAACATTTACTTTAGTTTTTTACGAGTTGTCTGGACCCCCCCATATTAAAAGTCATTTGAATGTCATCCAGAAGGTCATTAACCCTTATTGTTGGTTCATCTCAGGTGGCTTGAAATGACAACATAAGAAGTGTTTAGTTGAAACACACACAAGGGGGTTTATAGCCTCAAGGAAATTCCATATTCATTATAGCAGTCAAAATGAGAGCGGAAGGAAGGAGGCAAAGAAAGGATGTAAAAAGATATGTGTATCCTGTAGTTTTGTTCATAATATGCAAAGAGTGATGAAAAACATGCTCTTGTGTTATGAGCTTTTGTTTGATACTTTGTGCTTTTTTACTATTTTAAAGGGGAAGATTTCTATACTAGATCTCAACATATTACAATTGTGTTTATTTACATATTTCTTTATTTATGCAATGTGTGGCCCATTTCATGGTTGTATTTTACTAAAATCTTGCCTCCCAAACTTCTTTACTCCAATCCATAAGATCTATATCACAATTTTGCTTTAGCACAGATATTTACGTATTTATTTATACACCAATATTTATTTATCTGTAATGTGTGTGTGTTTGGTCCATTTTATGTTTGTATTTTACGACATTCTTGTTTTCTGAAGTTGTTTTCTTTTTTCTTTTTTGAAAATGTATTTATTTATAGACACAGACATGAAATTATATACATTTTGTTTCTTGTACAAATGTAAACAAAAATTCTTAATCAAACATTAAAAACAATTAATTGGTCTATTATTAGATGATAAATGTCTCTTAATTTCATGCTGTTCATATTTTAAAATAAAAATGCTCACTGCGCTACTGTAGAGTTTAAATTCATGTGAAGCATTCAGTGTCTACAAAACAATATATGGCTTTCTCCTTCCTTGTAAAACAAACTTATTTATTTTGATATTCCAAACACAATTATAATGTTAGTTGCAATTTACTATTTGTATTTAGCATTGTTTTTATCCTTGCTATTCAATTAAAACAGACTTGTGACCTACTTTTAGGCCATGACACCGGTTGACAACCACTGTTCTATTGTGTAAAGCTCTTACGTGAGATGGCATGAATAATAAGTGGTATTTCCTGTAAAATGAATAATTTCATTGATCTTTGTGTGACCGTTTCCTATGTATGATGGGCCACTCATCAACTAAACCTTGACCTCAAGTCACTTGCATCCTTCTGAGCACAAAGAGAGGAATTAACATTCTGACTCCGCTGATATACACGATGCTACTGTCGGGGAGGTGACGATCTCATGGATTTCGTGGATCTCAGCCATGTTGTTTTCACAAAGGCCTCATTGTGGGTTTTGATGCAATAGCTTGTTGAAATGCACAGTTTCTCTGTCTCTCCCCTGTGCTGATCCTTGTTAAACTGTGAGAGAGCAGTGGCACTGTTCCAGAATTCCATTCCCAGTGCTTATTGTAAACAGAACTCTAAGCCCAGTATCATGGGAAGTGTCCAGGAAGTCTTCATTGCCATTTTTTTGTTTTTAATGAGTCATTGATTGCATTTCTCTTGTTAAACATCTAATAGGACAATTTAGTCCCTCTTAGGGAAAATTGTTATTGCAGAAATGTATTGATGATAATGTATGTTGTGTAAAGGATGTTTGTCAGTCATTCTGTTTTTCCCAATATATCCATGTCATCTGTCTCTAGGAGAATGGGCAAAGCAGCCTCCGTCAGGCCCAGCAGGATGTGGAGGATATCAAAGTTATCATGCTGGATAACAGAAACAAGGCTGACGAGCGTGCAGGAAAACTCGGGGAGCTTGAGGAGAGAGCTGATAAACTACTTGTAAAGGTGGAACTTTTGTGACATCTGCTTTTTCTTGATATATAATACTATACTATATAACAATATAAACTATATGATCATTTAATACATTATTTATTTTATGCATTTAAAACTGCTTGACAAAAAGCATGCCCACTTATTTATGCGTTCTATGGTCCTATGATCTTGTTTTATGGTTTGTTGAGTTTTCTGATGAACATAAACTGGGTTTAGAATTGTAAGTGTTTCTAGGGAAAGCATGTCAAAGTCTATAAATGGTGTCTTGGTGGGGTGTACGGGGAAAAAAAGTGTACAATTTGTATCCTGAGTTTAGTTTACCTTGTTAATTTTAGAAAGCCATTTCCTTTTGTTATGAAATGAACAAAACTTGTGTAATAGTATAGCAGGCTGTTTGTGCAATACATGCCATGTGATCAGGCAACAAGTTCACTTTGGTTTCATGTTTTATCACATGTAATATTAAATTTTTAATGATTGTACTTTATTTCTTTTCAGAGCAAACAATTCTCAAAGACCTCGATTAAGGTGAAACAGAAGAAGCGCTGGGAGAATATTAAGTACAAAGTGATAATAGCAGCAGTTGTAGCTGCAGTGTTGCTCGGCATTATTGTGGCTGTTGCTGTGAGCTTAAGCAGAGAGGACAGTAAAAACACACCTGAAGTCACATCAGTACCAGGAGATGGCTAGAAGATAAGCAGGCAGGGAAGAAGATGAGTGAACATAAGTTGTGTTTGAAATTCCTCAGAATACACAGTAGCCCCCTCACTGCAGAACAAAGATCCAGGGGGTGGGGTTGGATCCACATCTAGGGGGTGGAGATGGGTGGGTTTAGGGATCAGGGGGTGGAGATGGGTAGGTTTAGGTATATGTAAGGTGGGAGGAGTTGGATCTGGATCTGCATTAATGGTAACAGTTTACATGCATTCTTGTTGGACTAAATGTATTTTAGCCATAAATTAGATAATTCGGTGCCAAATGCGGGTTAAAGTGTAGCAGGGAAAATATGTTAGACTGCATAGACTTTGTCAGGGAGTAGAGCATTGTTTATTAATCTTGTTTTTCAAAGAAAAAAAAAGCTTTCTTCATTCTGTTTTTCATCAGTGAAAAGTGTGTGATGATCTCAAGAATTTCCTATGTGTACGGTTTTTCTCATATTAGTTATAGAAGAATAAAAGCCTGTTTCCCAGCC